TGCGACACATGAGAACAATCGAAATGTTGACATTAACGTTTTGATTCGTTCTACGAGAAAGAATCAAATGGCTAACTACCAACCCGAGCTACAGGTATTCCGAGTCATTGAAATGTGAACATGTCGCAATCTATGTCATCTTTCTGCTTTGGTGAAGTGGATGAAGGGGACTAAGTGTAATACGTATCAGTCATTTGACGCATATGACGGTTGTAGACTCGTGATGGTCAACCACAACAGTTTTCACGTAGTGAGTAAGCAAATCCTCCTATAGCAATAATAATAATAATAACATTGAAGTAATAATAAATTGTTATTACTGGTGTTATTATTACTATAAGAGAATATGTAATCATGAAGTGAAAACTTGTGACTGACCATCACGAGGCTACAACTGCCAGAGCAGAAAATTGATTGAGCCACGACGACCGATGTAATGTGAATACAAGGAACATTTGTCTTGGCGGACCTGCCTCTTCCGAGTTTGCCGATTGCGCTCATGACGTCATATGTACCTTGTGTATCTTTAACCTATCCGCTTTCACTATGGTTTGCATTCGTCTCAAACCCAATTTTCACAACTGTAGATTATTCTGAGTTTGTTAAGTATAGTCAAATCTGTCTAAGGGGACCAGTGAAGGGACCAACAAAAAGTGGTCGCCTTGGACAGGCGATCACCATGGACAGATTCATGCATAGGGACACTACTCAGAGGAGCAAACGTTGGGGTGTATTTGGCTGGTTGGACTGTATATCCTGCTTCCATCTTGACTCCCCAATGGACAATAAGCAATGATTTCTAAGGAGCCAACAATGATTGCTTGACAAGTTCCGTAAGATGACCGGAGTGGGGATTAGAAAATGACAAATGAGAGAGGACATCTTTTGCCCCACCTCTTCGGAGGAGAAATATGACGCCCTCAGAGAGGTTAGTACTAAGCTGGCTACGCCTTTAAATAAGGTCCGCTTACAGGAACTGTTTGAGGACCCGGAGTTAGCTGATATGCTACCCACAAAGTTGTCACGAAAAATGCAACAATTTATTGGCTTGTCTGACATGGATACTGCGCTCCTTCGTGACCTATGGATGCAACGTCAACAGGACAATACACAGGCGATCCCCTCAGAAACAGGCTCGTTAACCAATTCCGGCAATAGCAGAGCAGGCGGACAACGTCGTCGGAAGGCACCAGTGATTGAATGAAGCAACAAGGACGCACCTCACTAAACATCGTAACATCCGTGCCAAGCGAATAGTCGACTCAAGCGCCGACACTTCAGTGTCAAGTTCACATACTTATCCTGAACTTTTAGCAAGCCACGGGTCCGGGTCGTCGCAAGACGTTAGCTTTCGACATGATCCATTGGCTATAGCAATGAAAACTGGTAGCTCAGGTTGTTCAGATGGCTGTTGACCTGTGCGCTGAGCTTGGCAATTTTGTTGCAAACGTTTCGTCACCAATCGAGGTGACATCATCAGTGCGTACTGGAGAGGCATGCAAATAGCGTAGAGGAGCCTCGTTGAGAGTGCGCTAAGCGTGGTGTGCGTACGTTTTTATACCACCGTGGTTGGCCGTGGAGCCGAGCAATCCTATTGGTTGGGACTTCGATCCGCGTTCAGCTTGGTTGATGGGCAGATGACCTTTGACCTCGCCTCCTTGTGTTTCGTGGTCTTTGTCTGCTTGCTCCTGCGAGCGAGTATGCCGTCAGTTCTGTTGGTCTAGTGACTAGACCAACAGAACTGACGGCGGAGTCAAAGGTCATCTGCCCATCAACCAAGCTGAACGCGGATCGAAGTCCCAACCAATAGGATTGCTCGGCTCCACGGCCAACCACGGTGGTATAAAAACGCACGCACACCACGCTCAGCGCACTCTCACCGAGGCTCCTCTACGCTATTGCATGCCACTCCACTACGCACTGATGATACCACCTCGATTGGTGATGAAACGTTTGCAACAAAATTGCCAAGCTCAACGCACAGTTCAACAGCCACATGATCCATTCTTTACAACCAGGAAAATCAGAAAATGTACTTTGTGTGATGACATCGCCATTTCGTGCATTCTTATCAATCCTAAGCATGCAACTGTGACAGGTATACAGACACAATGTGTGCTGGAACATAGATGACCAGGTATTTGCGCTACAAGATTAGGCTTAAAGCCACAGCAGCTATTTTTGGTTGACGAGCATTGAGCGCTCGCGATCGATAACATTGGCCTCCAGTAAACTAAGCATTAGGGGCCGCTGACAAATAAATAAATAGATATTTTATTCTCGACAAAGCGAGGCACATTACGTCTGTGAACGACTCATTAAGATTGATTCGGTGCCCAGTGGTGAGCAAGTGCATTGTGATTGACGAAGCATCTCCGTTTCCGGATGCAACCGATTCCGTCTTCCCAGCTCCCATCTGGCTGGGAAACTACTTGGGGATATGTTCACTGACTCTAACGCCTAAACTTTGTCAGTGCATCCAACGTAGCTGTCCACCGCTACAGGTGAATTGGTGTAGGCAATTGGATATGCATTGCCATCTCATCTGGGTCTTAATCGAACACAAGCGTAGCTTTTGTAGAGATAAGCGGCTGCAGCTCCGCCGCACTGTAGGTTCTTTTCAGTGAAGCACTTACAGATGAGTATTTGTGTTCGTTACAAAAGTATCGAACAACATGGTAAGATCATTTATAACACATCCGTTGATCTAAGGGATGGAAGCAATAGAGTACTCTGCGGAGAAGTTGGGGAAGAGAAGCTTCCCACATGTGTATTCATGGATCTGCTTCCTTTAGTTACCAGTTACGGACGCTTCGTATTCGATGTCTTTTCTCATCGAAAAACATCGCCGTATTCCAACCAAATGAAGAGACAATCGGTTAATTGTCCGGAGAAACGTGGCTTCAGTGGAGCATCTCCAGCGTCATTCTACCGTTTGTTTTCTATTTAAACTCTGAATAATTAGTTATCGTAGGTCATTAATGCTCGCTGACATCCCGTATGTTCAGGACTGTTTTCAAATGAAGTGTAAAACGACAGAGAATCACCAACTACTCCAGACTTGTGCTTCCGTAATTGTAATGGAACATAGAGTTCAACCGCTGCAATGGCTCACAATGAAATGCAAATGGTAATGGAGTCACTTTTCATGGCCAGCAACATATCCGTTGATGCAACACCAGTAGTCCAATAAGTCACCAACGCGCGACGAACATGAGTTCCGCTCGCATCATTTCGACTCCAGTATTTCTCAGATCGAGAGGCTGTAAGCACATCAGTCGACCAATTCCTCCCTGTTTTTCTAGGACAAAATGATGCCGACAAGCCGGAGAAGATAAAGAAGATACAATATTGGGAGGACTGCAGAATCTATCAGGCAAATCACAGATGCGATAGTCACTTTGTTCTCATACGCTTTCGATGCTATTTAGAAAAGCGTATCCCAAAACTGTAATATCCGTGACACAGATGTTGTTTTGCACGAGGAGGTATGCCATGAAAGCGAAAGTACTATACAATTTGTCGCTCTTCCTGAGATGTTTGGGGCAATTTGTTTCAGAGCTTAAACTAAGCAATGAGGAAGACGTTTCCTCTCATTATTGTTTTTGTTCTTGGAATTGTGACCTCGCAATTCACATCATATATGGGATATGTATAATTTTGCGTTATGCACAGATTTACTTCAGCGATGCGAGCATAGCTATGTGATTCTGAGTAGAAGACAGAGGTCTAATATGATACGTTGCAAGCATATAGGTTGCAGTATAAGGACAGTAGAGCGTACGTTGAGTTTTTGAGGTTTCGATTAATACTTTTGGTAAATCGGCCTAATTGTCCGACTTACGCATGCTTGTGCAGATTGTTGAGTATTATGAAATGATGAGCCACGCATATGCATTGTACAGCCGAAGCCGGGACTCAATGAATGGGAAGGAACAACATTATATATATATATATATATATATATATATATATATATATATATATATATATTGTACATACAAGTATCGGTTGTAACGCTTCGCATAGCGTAACTGCTGCCTACGGTCCGCTCTGCCAGGCGTTCAATCCAACCGCGAAAACCTTAAGTGAAGGCTCGATAGACTGTGTTTTATGGAAGAGACCTCTCTGATGAAGAAATAAGTGTGAATATCCCAGATTGCTCTTTTGTTAGACAAACTGTTCACTGACCTTGGCTATTTCACTGTAGGCGTTTCCTTACAAATCGGTGCGACGAAACGTTTGCAGTAAAATTGCCAAGCCCAGTGAACAGGATAGTTCAACCCTAACCCCCGCATTTTTGGCGTCCTGGCCTCGACCAATGTGAACCCGTTAGGCTGACCTGGTTCGACAAATTTGTCCGTTTGTTCGCGTCAATGCATGGCCAATGTTCACTCGGGCATCCTTCTCTCGAGTGTCAGCAAGGCGCATCGCGCCTGTATTCCATAGTTAGTCGGATGTACGCGCGGAGGGTATAAACCCCATAACTAACGCTTACCTGAGTTCGCCAACCACCCATGAACTGTATAGTTGTTCGGCCCTTCGCGTCTGGCGTGAAGCTCGTTAGAGCTGTCGGCAGGGCCTAGTGTCGTAGCGCCGTGCGGAGGTATTCGCTCCGTTTGCCCGCTAAGGTCGAGAGCAGATATGCATTGCGAAGATACGCGCCGTGAGAGGAATACTGTTTGGTGGTAAGATATTGCTGTTATCTGAAGCAAACGACATTTATAACAAGTAACAACAAGTTTGAAGAGATCGCCTTGAATGTGTCGTAAAACCTCATGTGTCGGTCTCTCTGTTGTTTGCGAACAGGAAAGCAGTGTCATGCTTCATACTGCCAGAGGTCATTGATGTAATTAAAAGACAGCAAACGACTAAAGGCGCATCCTTGGATTACTCCACTAGTGGCTGTACGCCGTAACGGTGTTTCTCTGCCGTGCGACCACCAGCAGTCGCACGCGGGCTGAGTATATCGTGAGGATGCCCACCCCTACGCGGATTCAAACCCGCGACGCAAGATTAGGAGACAAGTTCGTTACCTCTAGACTGCTTTAAAAAGTAAGCAGTTGTCGATTTGCACCACTTCTTTGCAGAGGTATGGCGAAAGACAAGAAAGTAGTGATACCCCAATGCTAACAGATTTTAACTTGTTAGATAATCGAAGGTGTGGTAGTCGGTCGAATGTTTTGGGTATATTGAGGTATACAGCTAAACCGGCTTCCAGGCACCAACAGAAGTAGTAATGTGGTCAGGAGAGTCTAGTTGGCATGTTGCACACGACTGGGTTTATAGAAAATCATATCGTGACGTAAAAATGAAGTTATTATGGAAAAAGAAATTAAGCATCAAGTTCGAAAACATTCGTTTCATCATTCTTGAAATGATGGGCAAGTGGTTCATCGGTTGGTAGTCAGCTGGTTCGTGTGCCTATCCGCTTTACGTCGAAAAATGATAACCAATGTTTTTCACTCGTTGGGTGCACAACACTTTTTGGAGATAACAGAAATAAGTTAAGCAGCAGCAAAGAGAGATTCTTATTAGCTTGTGTAATCAGAATTGTGGATATCCCATCAAGTCCCTAGTTGAAGGATGAATTCAATCGCGAAATCTGACTTGTAATTTTAGCAGCGGTGAACTCTACATTACATAGGCGTGAACTGTTGGGCAGGATGGGCATCGTTGCAGTGTGCAAGTTCTTACACTCAAGATACACGAAAGTAAGCGCTGAATGCTTCACACACACAGCTGCCGAGTCGTTAACGTATAATTCGTCCTATATTGTTTAGAGGAATGGTCCGATCAGACGCACGGGCAGGGGAGAGAGTTGATAAGCTGAAGATGTTGTTTTTGCCACTCAGGACTTTTTGTTCAGTCGAATGCGGCCGCTCCCCCTGATCCCTAATCCACTGGAAGCGAAACGGAAGAAAGAAAAGTATTCGTTCAAGTCAATACACGGCCACTCAGCGCGCTTTGATTAAATCAGTGATAACCATTCTGGAGCAGTGAAACTCAAGCCCACATGACTTTTAATAAGGCTGGGACGTAGGGTGTAGGATGGAAGCAAAGGCAGTACATCCAAAAAAAGCTGTAGCGAGTAAGAGAAACCTCGTTATCGCAATGATGATGACAGACAAAGAGATAATGATAAGGATGATCGTACATGTGAAAGAAGCGCGGTGCTCGGAAAAGACAATGATAAAGCAAGCGACTGTACAATTTTTGGGAGACAACTGTTAAAGTTCGATATGAGAGATCACGTGGACTGGGCGTAGTATGAACTTGGAATTGATTTAATATCCTTATCCGGTTTCTTAAAATTCTTCAAGATTGGATAGATATTGTTGAAAGCTTCGTAGATTTCTTCCCGTACTTTGGCTCCTGTATTGCAAAGGATAAGGGTATGGCATAGAAACGACATGGGTTAAGTAACTGACGAATAAATGAATGCAAAATGAAGGAAATACTCCGTGTGCAAGAAACCCCTAGCCTGTAATGAAGAATAGAAAGAAGCGGTCACTGGCGCCAGGCATCAAATGCTCATACCAGACTACGGTAGAATGAGTGGGTGTTGCTGGTGCAGAGAAGTATGACATAAAGAGAAGTCTGTACTAGTGAGTGGTGCTGATTCGAAATCCAAGCCCAGGTTCGCTTAGATCACAATGGTTGGCCATAAAAAACCAAATCGGTCTATCGATGGTGGAGTTACACGGATGACGTTCAAATGGAAATAAACTCGCTATACTTAAGGAGAGAGAGAGTGCATGAAAATGGCCGACAAGCTAACGTTTACCAAGCACGTCGATCAGACATGTGGTGTCACCGACATGCAGTCAGCGGCAAGCGGGAGGGGGCGCTTATTTCTGGAACGGATCGGAAGTACGAAATAGCTATGCAAAGTATCGGGATTTCTGGTGTCTACACAGCAGAGTTTTGTTGTGATGGATGGCATGGTACAGCCAGCAAACATCTTTAATTACCAGCACAGTTGGTCAGCGCCGAAGACAGTGGAAGTTTGATCCTATGGAGAGACAAGCAGAGTAGAATTTGTCCTACAATTAGAGATAGCGGCGGCAATGGTGGGACGATGAATGGAGTAGCCCATAAGTGCAAGCGGAATGTAGACAAGAAGAACCCGAATCATACGAAGATACACATATTAGTGAACGGATTAAATGCCATCGCGACATATCCAATAAAAGAGTGGCTCAGTAAGACGGCAGGGGCGGTTAGAGTGCGTAAAAGATAAATGAGCGAGGAAACACAAATGAAGAGGCAAAAGAGATTCAGCAGTATTTATGAAAATAAGCACATGTGGTAAGAAGCGTAGATGATGCAATTACAAACCAGATTCTGACAAGGATGAAGAGTCAGCGCAATTCTAGCGCTACATGCTGTGCAGAAGGACAGCTAACGGTGGTTCAAAATGTGCACCATTGTGTTTCGTCACGTAATCCGATAGAACTTGAAGAATTGCGTTAGCAAGAGGAAATATTTATTTCAAGGGCGGAATCCAACGCGTCTAGTCATGAGTGTAGTAGAGTACAGCTTACAGGTTTGAAAGTTATTTGGCGATTCGCCTCGAGCAATGGGTGTATTGAGTGTTCTCCGAAGGAAACAATGTGTATGTTATGAACCATTGAGCGCGACCTTACGTATAATTAAGAGTACCGTATTTTTCGGACGATAAGGCGCATAAAGCGAAACAAAATAGTCGGATAGGTCAGACTTAATTCAACTCATTAACAATAACTGTCAATATTGTTCACTTGTAACACACAAAAAACACGGGATAATACAATCACTTTTTCAACCATTACTCTTCTACAAATCCGTCGAACTCTTCATCTTCAGTGTCTGAGTTTGACAGATAGGCGATAGCGACATCAAACAAATCCGGATCTCTCTCATCATCATCTGAGTCAGTCTCGTTGCTGTTGCTTGGCTGTTCATCGATGATCCCAGCCTTCATGAAAGCTGGGACAACAGTTGAGACCGATACTTTGGCCCAGGCATCGACGATCCATTAACAGATAGTGGCGTAACTAACCCGGCGTTGCCTCCCTGTCTTGTTAAATATGTGATCACCTTCTGTCATCCAATGCTGTCACGCTGCTCGCAATTTAACTTTGAACGCCCTGTTGACCAATATCTAACCGTTGGAGTTCTTTGGTTAATCCTCCCGGAATAATCGCAAGCTCCGAATTAGTTTTCTTCACTTGACATTTGACAGTTTCCGTGAGACGGGCACGCATGGAATCGTAGATCAGTACGGACGGAGATGTGTGGAAATGCCATCCGGCCTCCTGACGTAAACTTCTGTCAGCTACTCGCTCATTTTCTCCTCGTCCATCCAGCCTTTTGGGTTGACCTTGACGATGACCCCAACAGGAAACCTTTCTTTTGGCAAAGTCTTCCTCTTAAAAATGACCATGGGTGGTAGTTTCTGGCCATTAGCCTGGCAACCGAGAACTACAGTGAAGGATGATTTCTCGTTCCCTGTGGTGCGTATAGATACAGTAGACGTCCCTGTTTTTTCAACAGTACGGTTCACGGGGATGTCAAAGCTGAGAGGAACCTCGTCCATGTTTATGATGTGGTCTGGCTGGATCTTCTTTTCGGTGATCTTGTTCTTGCAGTAAGTTCGAAAGGTGGCCAACTTTTCTTCCTAATCCTTTGACAGATGCTGCGATGTGGTAGTTCTTGTGCGGATGGAGAGATGACGCCTTTTCATAAAACGGAAGCACCAAGAAGGACCTCCTTGAAAGTCGTTCATCTTCATATCACGTGCCATCGCTATTGCCTTGAATCGAATGGAGACTGTAGAGACGCTTCTACCTGCTGTTCTATGTTCAGTAATCCACTGCTCAATTTTGTCCTCTAACTGTGGTCATCTTGCTTTGTTCCCGCGGAAAGTTCTTTGTCTTCCTTACTTGGCGCAGGCCATCTTGATTTGTTTTGCAGCTGCTCTATTCTCATGTTGTACTGTGTGATTGATGGCCTTGAGTTTGAAATCCGCTTCGTAAGCATCTCTTAACTGGAGTCATTTTAGGGTCCTACATAAGGCGCACTGCGGATTTTTAAAGCAAATATAGGGATTTTAAGTGCGCCTTACAGTCCGAAAAATACGGCACATTAACAAACATTTTTGTTGCTGGCGTTACTTGAAAGTAATGCGGTGCTTACCTAACTCGAATGCAATATTTTCAAACACACCACTGTTGACAAATATGGCTTCCCAGTGGATCAACTCTTATTTCCAATGTGCTCACTTTTATAACCCCTACGGATATCCGGTAGACCCGTAAAGAGGAGCCTCCACTTAGGTGACATTATTTCCTCCGACGCTATTACAGATAAAGACGACTATGAGCGGTCCATACAATGCTTCTGTTAAACATCTGACCATGTTATACAAAGGTGTGTCATGTCTAATCTATTTTGATGTACTAATGAGTAGGGGATTTTCAATGTAATAAATTGAGAGTTAAAGGTAGAAATTCGTCACATATAGGCTTAGTCAGACAGCCATCACACACCCAGAAAAGCACTGGACGCGCATTTCATCCTTGTGGGAATCGTCAGCAGTGCGCATTCCATCGGACCCTGGTAGGGCTGGAATCCACAACTTTACTGTTGCCAGTCCGTGGCAGGGACCACAGGTACGCTGGACAGCAATAGCCGTCGTGAAGAAGTTACTAGATGTGATATGGCGCCACTCACTATGCACCGACTTGCACGTTACTGCCGTGTAGAGGACAGGGTGACTCCCTCACCAGGCATGTGATAACTGTCTGTGTGAGTCTAAATGTGACGAATTTCTATCTATACCATTCAAGTCCCCCTACTACTCCTCTATAATCAGTACAACACCATGAGTTAATTGGCGGCTTAAGTTTGGTACGTTCGTCGCTTAGTGAGGGGGCTACCCTGTCCTCTGCACGGCAGTAACGTGCAAGTCAGCGACGCCATGCCACATCTAGTAACTTGTTCACGACGGTCGTTGCCGTCCCCAGCAGCTCAGTGGTCTCAACCATGGATTGGAAACAGTCGAGCTACGGGTTCGAGCCTTACCAGATTCCCATGGAATGCGTACTGCTGATGATTCTCGAAAGGATGAAACGCGCATACAGTGCTTTTCCGGGCGTGAGGGCTGTCTGAGTGAGTCTAGATGTGACGAATTTATACCTATACAATGCAACTCCCCTTACTAGTCCTCTGTAAGTTGAGAGTTCGTGACAAGAACTAACGAATCAGATGGTCATTCTGATTTATAAGCTTCCGCGACGAACTCTCAACTAGTTATTTCATTTCGTTCATATATCCGTCGTCTCTTTCCCCAGGACAACAACCGAACAGTTTCTGAATCTCTCTGATTAGACTTTGATCGAGGTGAAGTTTTGTGCAAATATCAAACTACTGCACAAAAATGTGAAGAGCCTCCGGAGAAGAAGCGTAGCACTCATCCACTCATCTTAGCAAAAGGATAAGCTCAAAGCACCGAAGATGCAATCAACACTGCGACTACAATATGCTCCGAAATTCCGACGTGCCATCAGCTCGTGCCCCAGTCCCCGTAAACGCCAAGACTTGCCGATTTCATCCTCAGTTAAGTGACTGTATTGAGGAGTTGATAATGTTCGTCGGAAATCGCTGGATGTGGAAGGTGCGGGGCTAGCCGAGGCAGCAGATCTCTAATATGTAAAGCAGGGAACCATTACCTCGATTCAGAACCCGCAAACTGTTACCCAGTGATCCTCCTCCTAGTGCTCTCAAAGGTAATGAAAGCGACCACTGCTGAGGCACTAATGGGCTACTTGAAAGATCGCACCTCATAGCGACGGAGGTGACTGTACGACTGCGTCATGTCTGAGTGTATTCAACCACTTATGTGCACCACCCGAGTTCCAATCTACAATAGCCTAACCAAACCATTTCATCAATAGCTTCATGCATTTATGTCATCTAGCGGTTTCGCCAAAACTTTGTACGGCGACAACGTATGAGGTACACCGACATAAGGGGGAACATTGCCAAGCCAACGTAGATGGTTCAACTCCAACAGATACCCCAGCTAGGCACTAGTTTTCCGACGAACACCAACTGGTGGACATCAAAATTGGAGACGCTGTTCCCTAAACATATATGATCAATACTCTGGTGATGAAAAACGGTCAATCTCCTAATGTTTTCAGTGCGAATACTCCATACATCTGATGTATACGGTAACAGTGGAATTATCGCAGGGCTAATTACTCTACCTCTGGTTGATTAACACCCCCACCATCTCCATAGATGATGATCGGACCTCTGAAAAGGCACACAAGCCGGACTAGTACGCAAAGTAATCTAACTAGTGATGTGGCCCGCAGAGATAACCG